ATCTCCAAGAGTTTAGAAGAAAAACTATATTGCAATGGGGTCTTTTTGGATGTCTCTCAAGCATTTGATAAAGTTTGGCACATAGGTCTTCTCTACAAGCTCAAAAATCTGGTTAGTAGCAACTATTACGTTCTCCTGAAATCTTACCTCACTGATAGGAACTTCTCTGTTATACTCAATGGCTCTGTCTCTCCCCACTATCCTATACATTCTGGGGTCCCTCAGGGAAGTGTGCTCGGCCCGCTCCTTTACCTATTATATACTGCCGACTTACCCGTCTTGCATAATATGACCGTTGCGGCATATGCGGATGACGTTGCTATTCTCTGCTCTGACCACGATCCGGTTACCGTGTAACGAAGCATCCGGAATTTCTCCATTTAGTTTGCCGTTTACAAAGATCACCCGGTATAGTAACGAATGGTTTGGGCTTCGTTACGCAAGAAGACCGTGATATTGAGCATTTTACGCAATGCCATGGAGATACCGTAATTAATTAGTCTGCCTACGACCGCTCCTGTTTGAATTTTGGAATTATTTTTGTAACCACCGAAGGATGTTGTCCTGGCGAAGATGAGGGACAATTAATATTCTTTGGTTTCAGCGCCGTTAATTACTTATAAGATGTTTTAAAAAGATTCCCATAATAACCACAGGAGCCGCAATTAATTAAAAACCGAATTATTTTCTACACCGCTCAGTGCGAACACGGCGAAGCTTTGGAAATTCCCTGTTCCACTTCTACCAAAATGGGTTTCCTTTAAAAGGAAAACGCTCAATTTGGGAGGTATCTTTCTGCTTCATACTTTCGAGTTGTAAGGATGCCTTTTGATTTCTTTAATTTGCGAAACCGTATCATTCCGAATTCACCGAAACCCTTTTGTTTTACCGTTTTGCCGTTTGAGCGACCGTAAGTCAAGCCGTTGTCCTTTCCTTTTCACTACCGTTTTGAGTTTCCCTTTTTTGCACAACCGTAACCTTTTGCCACCGTTCCGCTAAACTTCATTATATTCTGTTCTCCTTGCTTTTCCGCTTTTCTTTCCCCCAGACACCGCTAATGATTTGTGCTTTATTGCTTTATTCCCTTTAGGAAATTTACCGTCAGGGCCGTCGGCCATATTTTGTTTTAGATAATCCGGAAGTGACCGCCGCCATTTTGTGGTGAACTCTGACCGTTCCCTGGTATATTCCGTTCTCCACTAGAGGATACCCGGAGGCCTTCCACCCCATCCGAGAAGACCGCCCCTCTTCCCAAGACTTCGGGGGAGCAGAGATAAGTCTTGGTGGCGCCCGAGAGACCGACCGACCGTCTACGGTGTGATAATTGAATTATACAATTATATAATTAGTAGTCCATTAAACGAACTTGAATTAATTGTGCTTTCATCATTTAAGCTACCGTTGGTGCACGAGCAAAGGGGGAAGTTCGTCGCAACCTCCTCCGTAAACATGCAATCCCAACTCAACATGCTCAGTGAATGGTATTCCAAATGGCGAATCAAGATGAATCAAGCCAAATCAGTTCAAGTCACTTTTACCCAACGCAGAGAAATCTGTCCGGCCGTATCAATCAACGGTTCTCCCATACCTGTAAACACTGTAGTAAAATACTTAGGACTCCATTTAGACCAACGACTGACGTGGCAGAAACACATCCAAACGAAAAGGAAGCAGTTGGATCACAAAGTCAAACAAATGTACTGGCCCATGGGACGCAAATCTAAACTTTCTCTCAGAAATAAACTCCTGCTGTACAAATCCATGGTGAAACCCATCTGGTCTTACGGTATCCAGCTTTGGGGCTGTGCCAAACCCACTCGTTTAAAACCAATCCAAGCGTTCCAAAACAAAACACTCCGAGCAATCGTTAACGCCCCATGGTACGTTAGCAACTTCATACTCCATCAAGACCTCCAAATTCCATATGTCACGGACGTAATCACCACTGTCTCTGCCGCTTACCAACAACGAATTACAGGTAATCCAAACGTCCTCATAGAAATCCTCTACAGGGATGGACCACCCATCAGAAGATTAAACAAAACCTGGCCTGCTGACCTACCCCCGTAACACTAAGTGATAGTGAACTAAAAGGTGAATTGTCAGTGGACACTTCCCCTTCCAAGTCAAAGTCATACATCACATTTACTTAATACTCTAAATGAAGTAGATTGTAAATTTGCAATAAAGATATAAAAAAAAAAAAAAATAAAAACGTTATTATTATTTACACTTATCATTTTTTCAGTGTTCTATATAACTGAGATAAGAGGAAGAGCCGTAAAATGTTGCGCTTTCCTAATGAACATTAAAAGCATCTACTATACCTACTTCTACCTAATAATTCAACAGACTGTACTAACCACAACTCACTAGCAAATACTACTTAAATTACTCGGGAATAACGTCTCACATTTCAGTCACATACAACTCCAATATGCCGCGGACAAAAATCCAACTTTACACAAACGACCAAAGGCGAAAAGGCCACGTTAAAACACTTCCTTTTCTATTTAACAACTCTTACCTCTCTTTTTCATTCACTTCCACTTCCTTATTATTTTGTTAAAATACATACAATATTAATCCAAAGCGCAACACCTGCGCCCATCTGTTTACAAATTAATTAAATTTTATCGTAACCACGGCTTATCTAAAAATTAAATAAACTTTTATAAACACAGTTTACTGCGGAATGTGAAATTAATCTTAGTTTTGCGAATGTATGTTATATGTGTGTATGTATATTGTAGAAATCTATTCAAAATCTGTTTTCGCTAGCACGCATTCCATTTTTAGCTTCATTCTAAGTTCGAACGAGTATATGAATAGATTTCTATGTAATAAGTTGCATAGGAACCCTCCCCTATTCCAACCATTATTTTAGTTAGTGAGTTAAAGTTTGGCTATTGTCGAAGTGTTGATTTATGCGATTGTTGATTTCGCATTATATGCCAATGTTGGTTGACGACTTTTATTATTTACGCCGAAAAGTTACACTTGAGGCATTTAAAATTCAAAGTTGTCAAATTCACATAGTTTTCTCGTTATGAGTGGAAGGTCATTGCATACCAATTAAAATACATAATTTGGATAAGGTAACGTAAAAGCAAAACGTTTCAATTGGTGCCCACTTTAGGTGTTAAGAGTTCGCATTTTTTTATATACCTAAAAAATCGCACCTTTCTGCGAATATAAGAGTAAGAGGGAAGGGTTTTAACCCTTTAATTGAGATAAGTACTATTACAACTTCCGAAGATAATGTACACCCTTCAGATCATCCCTGCTGCAACACTATACGACACAATTTAGATGAGTTCAGAAGAAATTACTGATTGTGAAATAGAGGCAAGTGAAGGGCTACAGCATTCTTTGGCTGTATGTCTTGGCGGATGTTTATTCAGACACAATGTAAAAATTATGTACGGAACAAAGCCTCCGTTAAGTAGCCTCTCCAGTATCGCTAATATCGATTTTCGACATTTAATGCGAAACGTCCAAAGTTTGTGTCGGGAAGGTCTAGCTCAAGTGACAGATGTTTATTGTTGTTAGGATATTGTAGTTTCCCAGATTAATCACCCCATTTCCGCAAAAGGAGAATTTATTAAATCTTTCCAAGACCGTCTACCATTTTACCTCGACAGATTAGAGGTATCAAATCAAAAGAAGGCCTTAGACCTAACAACACCTTTCTAGTCCATGACTAGAAGGAAAGAAGGAAGTTAGTCGCAATACATTTTTCCACTGGGTAACATACTAACATAGTTGCAAAGAAAAGATCAATTTGTGTACCTGATCTTTGAGTTCACCTTACAAACCCCGCGAAAGCTTTCTGCACTAATCAATACATTTGAATTACCCTTTTATATGAAATGCCTCTTAAAAGCATACTACGGTTTGCAATATTCATAACATTCAAAGTATAAGCTTTTAGCATACCACATTCTTCAAATATAGACATCACAAAGCACTGCACATTCACATCAATATTGGTATAGGCAGATAGTCTCTATTATATAGTAATAATAACGTTTACCTTATATTTGTTTATTCATTTAAATACGTTGAGTACGAGACTATGAAGTATACAACAAATTCATAACTAAAAGATACAGTTAAATGAAACAATCTATATGACATTTTTTATCTACCAATATCAGCGAATTACTAAGGACGGTAAGTTAGATTTAGTTGATACGCAGCAGTAATTTATTATTAAAAACTTTTTAATTCTTTCGTAATAACTTAACTACACTATAACTTTGCCGCTTCTATTACTTCATTTATTGTTAATTAACTCCCCCGATCCATTAAATTTCAAAAGCGAACGTTCAGTTATTTACATCCCAGTCTTGTGATTGCATATTAAAAGTTTAATGAGGGTAGTTCTGTTTTCGCTTTGTAGCTTCTGTTTTCATCCTTTTAGGCAATACGTTCCCATTTAGGCATTAACATTGTGTAATTTTGTCGCCAAATTGGTTTGCGATGCTCTTGTGTCATATACTGTTTAAAATCTTCGCCCTTGCCAGCAACAGCAACAACATATTGTACTACCGATGGACTTTGTTCCACCCCTTTTTCGTTTATGAGCACATTTTTTCTAGCATTTGGGATTTAGAGCTTCTTTCTATACCCCGCTAAAATTCTGCATCGGTTCCTCCCAAAGTTTTATTAGAAATAGCCTGGTCAAATTAACCGACAATCTGTATTTTATGTAATAGGTCAAAGGTAAAGTCAATGGTTTTTAATACACAAACACAATAATATGGTAACATAAATAAATATCGCACGGGGATTTGTTATAGGATATAGTCTGGAGTTCTCCGCAAAGGATGACTTTTCCAGAGCAATTATTAAATAACTTGTTTAAATAGAGTTCTTGTTAGGAGCTTAAATTTTCATTCAATCTTCTCCTTTATAAATAAAAAAAAAACAGTTTTGATAAACAGACTTTATTATTTCAGTTTTGGGAACGATACATGATTATCTAATATTTTCAGTTATTGTACCCATTTATAATAGTGATCAAAGGTACCAGGAAATTGTTCATTTAGAAAACTAAACCCTTTAAAAAATGCCAATTTGCAATCTTTAGGACTGTCACCTTTACTACCATTACCTGTTACTAAATTTATAACATCTTGAAGAGATAAATTTGCCAAGCTTTTATTTATCATTTCAATGATGGGTGCAAGCTTCTCATTGATAAGGGTATTAAGAGCAGATTGTTGTTCGATGGCAAGCGAATTAAGCGTGTCTTCCATTTGCCCAGTAATAATCTTGCTCAAGTATTCATCGTGGAATAAGCCGGTAACTTCACACTGTGTGGATGGCAGCCCAATTTTTGCCTCAAACTGTGATATTTTGATTGGATTTATTCCAATTTCAAACTCAAGCCCTAGTTGCAATTGTTTCAGCAACAATCTAAAATTGGATGAGCAAATTTTCAATACATTCTGCAGCGACTAACGACGTGACAATACCTACTTGAACTTTCCTGTTCCGAAAAGATTAATCATTTGCATCAACTTCAACGAACCGTCGTAGTTTGTACCGAGATTTAGTGAGTCGAAGGTCAATCCAAACTTAGCCGATAGTTTAGCTCCACCCCAAATAATAACGTTCAAACTCGCTGGGTCCGCTACAAATCCTGACAGCCCGTCAAAGAGGATATTGGACAGAAGCAAATTAGAACTAGAATTATAAGCTTAATCTTTATAAAATTTGAAGCGAATTTCCAACCTTATAACATCATTGTGTATGTCTAATGGAAACATTGGCCATCGAAACGGATCCAAGGAGACTCCACTAATTCCTTCTTTAATTATTTGTTTTAGGCATTCGATGCCTTGTTTAATTTCGTTCTCGAAAATACGAGAATTCGCTGCGAAAATAAAACATTAAAATTATGGCTGGGTTTCAAGTTGAACTTACTCCTCAATAGTGTCATGTTCATACTTTCACCGAGTGCGGGATAAGTGAAACATATTGCAAATACAATAAACTTATGCAATAGCTTCATTTTAAGAAAATCCTATTATGCAAAGGCGTAGCAGTTCTGGCACTCTAAGCGAAATACAGAGTTTTATACTTTATATTCGTCTAATCTCGATACTGTGACAGGTAGGTATAAGTACCTATTTAAAGTTCCCACTTACCTGATAAGTGACGCGGAGATAAAAGGGATTAGTAGCTATGTGTCGAATAAACATGACAAAATGCACTTAGGTTTGTTTGTACTGTTAAGTACAGCAGCCAAACTGAAGATCAACAATTAACTTTTATTTACGCCACCATCGTTGCAATATAGCTATTGCGTTTTGGTACTGGACGTCATTCAAACATGAACAGATCATTTTCAAACTGTGGTAACGATGAGGATATAATATCAAGTAATTAAGGCCAAACGTTTTTCTCAATAAATTAATAGAAAAGTATACATATCAAACATCTTGTTGGGTTTTTTTTTTCTTTAGCCATGCTCCCTTTGCAAACATTACAATAAAATTCATTTCTGATTGATAATTAATTCGAATTATTTTTAAACTTATAACGTAAACACTTTATTAAAGGTATCAACTGATTACAAGGTTCACGGTCTTTGTAAAATCATCAAATTATAAGTATTGTGTTTGGAGAGAAGCAGGATGCTCAATAGTACTGCCTACATCTTTGAGAAACAAAGTTAAACTAAATCACATGAAATGGAGTAAATTGACTTCAAGATTAATTGCAGGACTTATTTAACACCAATAAAAGGAAAAATGAATCATCGTAAAACACTTTTTTCCAAAATCGTCATTAAACCTTTACTTTCATGCTTACTTTATGTCAGGAAATTTTAGTTTCCATGACAGTGACAGTAACACTTTACTTGACTACTTTTTCCGCCGCCTGTCACTTTCCGAGACTCCCTTTCCTGCCACCTCACAATGCCATAGGTATTGCTAATGTCTCCTGTCATAACTGACACATTGAGATTTCATATTAAAAAATTTCGGGAAACATATAATACAATACTCGTCACTAAAATGGAACTGCTTGACTCGGAAGTTAAAGTAACTGGGCCCTCGCACTTCACTATTTGCTCGCTAGTAATATGTCATTTTCCTGACTATTATATAAATAACTAACAACTAGTCGAGGCTTTCGCTTTACCCGTATCTTTATTCAAGGGGTTTTCGTTGGAAATGTGAGACTTGGTTGAAGCAACTGACTTTATTTGGTATTTTGTATAATTGCTTAGGACTCGATCTTACCTCATGATGCAATTATTTCTAGATATTCCATCTAGCGTTGAAGAGCAAGAACAGCGCGGAGTTTCTACGGATCTGGATGTTTTGAAAAGTTTAGATATTCCTCAAGGGAGCGGTTGTGGTACTACAGACTGTGAAAGGCAATAAGCAGCTCCTGAGTAGCGTTGCAAATCCTTTCTCTGTCAAATATAGGAGGAATATGTTGCACAGATTTCACCAATAATAAGAGAATCGGGTCCATAGCACTCACTGACATGCTGGACATGATATTGACTTGTCCACTGGGCTCAAAAGTATAAAAAAAGGATACTAAAGGAGACCAAAACAAACATACTGCTAAATAAACGGTGTTTCCTTTTTAATTTTTCTTTTCAGCAATTGTATCATACAAAACATATAACATAAGGTCTTATCCAAGGTTTAGTCATTTTCACCTCGGTTTTGGAAGAAATATCCAAATTGTATCCCATAATGACGCAGACCTACACACAAGTGCTACAAAAACTCTAAAATACAAGGAGAAATATTTGAACAAGCAAATGAAAAATTCATTTCTTTGTAAAATAATAATTTACTGGAAAAGAAGTGCCATGGTCCCTCAATTATTTACACTACTCCGAGGCGTTAACAGCATAGATGGAAATAGGCTTATTCAGTAACAAACGATTTTCAATTGTGGAAAACGATTGAACCATTGATGAACTGAACATATTTAACTCAATGGTTGACAGTCAAAACCTTGTTTACGAGAAATATTGTCAGATTTCAGGCAAGACTATTTTAAGGGCATTTTATGCTCGGAATGTATCAATCCCACCCGCACGTGAGATGAACCTAAAATCTCTAAAATCTGGTGCTTCAACCAAAACCCGTGGGGTGGATGTGTTTGTTTAGTTTGCAGTGCTCAGAAAGTATACCCGCGCGTCACCTCAGGTTCTTTCTTGATAGCTCTGTGCGCCAAGCTACGAGATAGTTCTTTTAAGGCTTCTGTCTTATGGCGGCAATCTAACATCATGTTCTACTTATTAGCTGTGTGTTGGGTTTGGGTGTTTTGAGTTATTAAGTTAGTTACAGTTGCAACTGTAAGTGGAAGAGCCGGCTCTGGACCATACCTGTTTGAATGCCAGCCGGGCTTACTCATCGGATTTCTCATTACCTTCCGTTCGACCAAGTGTCTGCAAGGCAGCCCTGCTATCACTGGAGATTCTGATAGTTTTGTTCTTTATATTGTGCGTTAGAACTTTTCTTGCACTAAGCGTTAGTCCTACCAACTTTGATCGGAATACAGTAGGAAATGTGCCTAGTAGTTGGTTCAGTTCTTTGGCGGAAATACCAGTGCCTGTTCCTTCCATTTTTTTCGATCCATCCGAGAAGATGAATATGTCTAGTTGAGATGCCCCATCCTCATCGAGAAAGATTTGATAGTTTTTCCCTATCCCTATTTTCCGATTGCCCTTTTAGGATAGGTAGGTAATCGCTTAATCGCCTCGCCCAGAATTTAAGAGTGGCCCACCCCCAATACCTCTCCTATTCAATAACCCCCTATTTTTCAAAAGCAGGGATGTTAGAGTGGCTTGCTCTCTCACTTGGAGATCTAGTGAAGGCAGATCCAGCAGGGCCTCCATGACGGCAAGTCAAGTCAAGTTAGTCTGATTTTAGGCCACCAGACAATTGCTCTATAGCAGAGCATAAGTCTTCTCACGGCAATATACAGCCACCAGGCAACCTTTGGGGATGGTCCCCAAAGTCTCCCAATTGCGGGGCGACTTTGCCAGAAAGCCTTGCTTTTCGGCTTTACTTTAATTCAGTTCTTTGTCAAGTGTGATTCTTAGATATTTCATTGACTCTGAATCTGAAAAATGGAGGTTAGAATAGTAGAGGAGTTCGAAGACCCTCTACCTTGCTTTTTCTTGTGTGAAGATAACTAGTGCCGTTTTTGTTGGGTACACCATTCTTCGGTTCCTCTAAGAACTGATTGCATCAATCTGCATAGAGTAGCCTCAAATTTACCGGTTATTAGTATGGTTATATCGAAGATTATCGAAGTCGGCGTAAGGTTAGTGTGATGCACACCTGCGCACTTTTTGACGAATCTTGTCCCTATCTCGCAGTTCTTCGGGTTATGTCCAAATAATTGGCATCTGTGACATTGGCCACGTTCGTTTTAGAGGCTCTGCATTGTAGTCTTCGGGAGTCAGACCTTTGCTCTTCCCCGGGTCAATTAGTTTTTCGGATGAAACACATTGACAAAGGGCACAGTTTTCCCAGTCCATAACTGACGCGTTAAGTGCGTTACAATCCATATTCCTTCTATTCTTCTCCTTCTTCTATTCTTCTCTCTCTTCTTTTCTTATCCTTATTCTTCTCCTTCTATTCTCCTTTTCTTTATCTGACTTTAATTAACCTGTACTCCCTTTATCTGTAAATAAAGGAAAAAATATGTGGCGATGAACATTACACACGTAACGGAGCTGACACGTTTTGGGCCGTATCCGTTTCTTTCGCGTTTAGCGGAGTTACAATACTAAAAACTAGGATTTTGTGCAATATAATAATTTTTAAGAGCTATAAAAAAGGCTAGAAGCATGGTTTTCTTAAAACCAGGGATTATTGAATTATAACCAAAGTACGCAACTGCATGAATACGAAAACCTCGGATTTTGACGTCACTTCCGGTAACCGGAACTAGGAAGTAAGGCCTAATCTTTGAACGGCCGCCATTTTGTTTTTGGATAACTTTTTGTAGGCCCCCTATCTTAAAATCATCAGGACTAAACTCTGTATTTTCTTACTGAAATCTACCAGACTATTGGATTCCGCTTTCCTATGGACGATTACAGGAACAATTTCATCCGTTTTGTAATCGAACTTCTGGTTATCCATAATCTGGGATATTTTGCAGTATTCCTCTCCTTGATCAGTGGATTTTGCAGGAGCAATCTTAATTTTCTCCTGGTTCAGAGTATTCAGCAAGTTCTTCCACTTCCTCTCTCAGAAGGATTGGTAGGATTTTGACTACGGGGGGTGATTGGATGTCTGAAGTTTATTCTTGGTTCCCTTGTTGGTTTATTGGCTGGTTCAGCTACTCACCTGAAGGTTTTTTCTCTGAGACGCTCTCATTGCCCTCAGAAACCACAGGTTTTTTGGTCGTCGTCTCTTCAGAGTTCTTCTGGTGGAGCTTGTTATGGTCGGCAACTAGTTTTTCCACGACTTCCTTGTCTTCCAATGAAATATAATAAAGCTTTGATCTCGCCCTTAAAAAGCGAGTTCCCGTTAGTTAGGGAACTAAATGTCCATCCTGATCTTGATGCATATCGTCATCATTGACGTCGTGTTTCAGTAAGTTGTCATCTTCGGACTCGAACTCGAGAAGTGGCCATTCGTCATGCTATTAGGCTTCGTTTTGAATCGCCTTCTCTAGCTCGTTAAGTATGCTGCTACAAAATAACCGGTTAAGATCGTAATCAAGTGTATATGTCGTAGTCTTTTAGTGAAATCCGCCATTTCACGAAACGGCTAGTCATTTATATGAAACTGTGGAACAGTTTACTTTCCAGGACCAAGCGATTGGATTTCCTTCCCATTAGAGATCGATAAATGGTATCCTTATCGATCTAGAAGGGGAAGGGAAATTACCCCACACGTACAAATTTTCAGCGTTTCACTAAATGACTAGGCCTCGGACTAGGCGTTTCGTGAAATGACGGATTTCACTAAAAGGCTACGACATATATATTGGATAAACTAAAACAGTAACAATTTGTTTTAGTCACTTTGCGGTTTGAAAATGACCCAGGTGGCTAATATTTCTTTAATTAACGAAGTAAATAGTAC